CGGCGCGCCTCCGAGGCCTTCGTGTCTGCCTCCAGGTTGGCGAAGTCGGCCTGCACGACCTGGTCCCACATGGAGAGGAGGAGGAGGAGGAGGAGGAGGAGGAGGAGGAGGAGGAGGAGAGAGGAGAGGAGGAGGAGAGGAGGATAGGAGCAGGAGGAGGAGGAGGAGGAGGAGGAGGAGGAGAGAGGAGGAGGAGGAGGAGGGATTAGGAGGATTAGGAGAGGAGGAGGAGGAGGAGGAGGAGGAGAAGGAGGAGGATTAGGAGGAGGAGGATTAGGAGAGGGCGGAGGAGGAGGAGGAGGAGGAGGAGGAGGAGGAGGAGGAGGAGGAGGTTTCCCAAGCGGGTCTCCCGCCCTGGCGCCGCGCAGGCTCGCCCTGAACAGCCAGCAGCTACACAAGGAGGAGGGAGGAGGAGGAGGAAGAGGAGGAGGAGGAGGAGGAGGAGGAGAAGGGAGGAGGAGGAGGAGGAGGAGGAGGAGGAGGAGGAGGAGGAGGAGGAGGAGGGAGGAGGAGGGAGGAGGTAGGAGGGAAGAGGGAGGAATGGCGCGGGAGGAAGAAGGGAGGAGGGAGGTCGGGGAAGGAGGAGGAGGAGGAATGAGGAGGCGGGTGGGATGAGAAGGAGGGAGGAGGAGGAAGGAGGGAGCAGGGAGGAAGGGGGAGGGAGGAGGGAGGAGAGAGGAGGGAGGAGGAGGCGTGAAGGAAGAGGAGGAGAAGCAGGATGAGGGAGGGAGGATATCGCGGTACGTTCAGCACGACTATTCAGTCCAACCAAATGTCCAGCGCCTGCCTCTCTCGAAAAGCAGTCTCAGCCGTGTAATCGTCGCACACGTCTTGATTTCGGCCATGAGCTTCGAGGCAATCTCGAGCGATAGCCCCATCTTAAAAATAAGATCGCTCCCGGCACATTATTGTGAAACCGATTGCGCAAGAAAAACAACGATTGCATAAACCTAATATTCAAGGGTAGCCACCCCATGAAAATAACAACGAGATCTCGGTTAAGCCGGTCACTCCCGCCTACGAAATTGTGACAACGGCCGAAACTCGATAGACTGACCGCACGGTCTACTTCGACAAACAACTCAAAACAATGAACAAACCGAAACAATAATTTGGACAAAACGCAAGCGAAGAAACTGGTGATTCCATCAGCCCTCTGGGCGTCGGTGGTTTAGGGAGTTTCCTCTTCCACCCCTCCTTCTTCCCCTTCGGGGAGGGGTTTACCTCTCCCCCTACCCATTCCCCTGGACCTGGACAAGGGGTTCCGCGAGGTGTCGGAGCGTCCAAAACGGCCTCGGCGAGGAAGCCAAAATCATTGGTTGTACTAGGGTTTGGGCCCCATGCTGGCCTCCTGAAGGGGGAACCCTAATCAGGCCCCCTCCTCCTGTGATCGATCTCACCCAAGATGAGAGGCCACCAGCATTCCCGAAGAGGCCCCTAAGAGCTCTTCGAGAAGCCCCCAAATCTGTCCACGATCGAGATGCCGCGGCATCTCGCTCACGGACACTTCTTGAGATCGCCACAATAACTCTCAACGCCCCCAAACAGTTCCCTAACAGCCCAGACAAACTGCCGACATGTGTCCAAGAGGCCACCAGAAAGCCCCCAAGAGGCCCCCGAAAAGGCTCGAAATGAGTCCCAAGAGAACACCAACATGCTTCCAAGAGACCACCAACATATTTCTGACTGGTCGAGTCGTTCATCTGGTGGGTCTGGTCTAGTCTGGTTGATTTGGCCTGCTGTTGATTGGTTTTCGTTGGTGGTCGATTGGTTACTGTACCTGGTTTGCGTAGTCGGGGTCCATCTAGCTTCTCTGGCTTTCCTGGGTCCGCATGCAGCAGAGGATTTGGACGAGAACAGCGGAACAGCAGCAGGAGCAGAAGCAGGGGCAACATCAGCGCGTGGAGGGAGAGACATCCGAGGAAGATCGGGGGAGGAATGCGAGAACCGAGAGTTTGCTTCAACGACCATATCTGTTCTTAGGCCCCGAAACAAAGATCGGTATTGGGGCTAAGACCTTTCCGCTTCTCGCGGCTTAGACTGAGGAAGTGAGGTGAGGAAGGACTGATGATGATGATGATGATGATGATGATGAGGAGGAGGAGGAGGAGGAGGAGGAGCAGCAGCAGCAGCAGGAGGAGGAGGAGGAGTAGGCGCAGGGGGAGAAGGAGGAGGAGGAGGAGGAGGAGGAGAGAGGAGGAGGAGGAGGAAGGGTAGGAAAGAGAAAACGGAAGGAAGGGAGGAGGGGAGGAGAAAGAGCAGAGGTAGAAGGAGGAGAAGGAGAATGGGAGGAGGGGGAGAAGGACGAGGAGGAGGAGGAGAAAGAGGAGGGGTAGAGGAGAAAGAGGAGAGGAGGAGGGGAGGAAGAGGAGAAGGAGGAGGAGGAGGAGGAGGAGCAGGAGGAGGAGAAGGCGGAGGAGGAGGGGGAGGAGGAGGAGGGAGGTGCCTCCAGCAGCGCCAGCACCCCGTACTCGGCCTCCGCCTGCTGGCCCTTGTAGGTCTGGCGTCGCGGCGCCAGGGAATGAGAGAAGAAGGGGGGCACGTGGGAGTAAAAACAAGAACACCTCCTTATGTTTCTCCTCCTCCTCCTCTTCCTCCTTCTCCTTCCTACCTCCATCCCCCTCTCTCACCCTCACCGCCCCCCCTCTCCCCCCCGCCCGCACTCACCCTTCCTCCTCCACCTGCCCCGTGCCTTCCCTTGGAAATGAATTCTCCCTGTCGCACCACAACGTATCGGTAGGGCGGGCCAGGGGTTTTGCCGGCGATTTCCTCTCCACTGGCGACCTCGAAGCTCAAAACTTGGCAACAGCTTCGCAGATGGAGGGCGGGCCGCTTCCCAAATGCGGCTCTCGGTTTAGCACCGCGCACACTCGTCTGTAAACCACTTGCAAGAGCATTACGGATTGAGGACGGGCCGTTTTAAATATGTGGCTCTCGCCGTCCCGCCGCGCTCATTCGTCCTGAATTTTACAAGAGCTTCACGGATGGAGGGCGGGCCGCTTCCAAAATGTGGCTTTCGCCTGAACGCTGCGCACATTCGTTTTTAAACTTACAAGAGCTTCACGGATTGAGGGCGGGTGGTTTTCAAAATATGTGGCTCTCGCCAAATCGCCGCGCGCATTCGTCTTGAAAGTTTGTATGTGTTTCGCAGATGGTCGGCGGGCCGCTTCCAAAATGTGGTCCTCGCTTCAGCGCCGCACACATTCGTCTTAAACATGTGCAAAAGCTTCATGGATGGAGGCCGGTGCATTTTCAACATGTGGCTATCGCTTTAGCACCGCGCGCATTCGCCTTAAGAGTTTGCAGCAGTTTCAAGCATTAGCAGGAATGGTGTTCTGGCACGGTGCAGGGCTGTTAGGACGCAGCGTTTACGTTGATTTGCGGTGTTGGCGTCCCAAGAACGGCTCTCTGGCACGCTTCAGGATCGTCCAAGCGCAACAAGAACGTTGATTCGTGGTGTTTTGGCACGGTTCTGGATTTTCAGACGGTTGCCTTCCAATGGAGCACTTCCCACCGTGAAAATGCATCCTTGCACGGGCCTGTGAAGATTGAGCTTGGAGAGAGGGTGCATGTCAACATCGTTGGTGGTGTTCGGCTTACATAATCTGGTCCTCCTCTACCTCCTCCTTTCTATTTCCTTATAGATAACTCCTCCGTGTCGCGCCCCGAGGCTATTCGAAACGGCGGGTCGGGGGGTCGCCTGAAACCTCCTCACCGCTGATGACCCCGAAGCTTAAAACTTGGCAACCGTTTCACACATTGAAGGCGGACCGCTTCCAAAATCCGCCGATCCGGCGTGTGAGTTCCTGAAAGCGTGGGCTTGAGCTCGCTCAAGCTTCGCTCTGGCGAGGGGGGGGGGCTGACGCGAGCTGACGCGGGCTGACGTCTTTCCGGCCCCGGGACCCGGGACCTGGGCGCGCTCCTGGGAGGGGGGGGGGGGGAGCTGACGTGAACTGACGCGAAACGACGCGGGCTGACGCCTTTCCCGCCCCGGGACCCAGGACCCGGGACCCGGGCGCGCTCCTTGGAGGGGGGGGGTGGCTGACGCGAGCTGACGCGGGCTGACGTCCTTCTGGCCCCGGGTTCCCTGATATGTTTCGTTCATTCACGAGGCGCGCGCGTGTCTATTTTGATGTCGCGTATACTGTGAATTAGAATGCTTCGTTTTTTTGTATATATATATAACATATAATGTGTTTTAATAAATATACATGATTGGACACGTTTAGACACGTTTAGACATTTTTAAACACGTCGTATAGGAAAAATAGACACGAGTGCATTTTAGACACGGGTAGACACGTTTAGACATGTTTAGACATGTTTAGACGCGTTCGAATTAGACACGGATAGACACCGACAACGCAAAGACCCGTTCAGACACGGATCAAACACGCAACGAACCATGCAAGGACTGACAACATCATACACGGACATGCGCGCAGGAAGGTCGGGCAGTGGTTGGCCCAGCAGGGGACATCGATGGCAGAGCAATGCCACGAAACAAGCTCGGGCATGGCATATATTTTGGGATTGCTGGCGTCTAAATGGGGGTCGGGGTAGCTGGGATGATGAAGTTACGGAATAGGTGGGAAGCGGGACGATGGGCAGATGCATTTGAGAAGGAACATGAGGAGGAACTGAAGGAGGATGAGAAAATGGAACGGGAAAGGAAGAGGAAGAGAAGCAAGAGGAGGATGATAATGACAAGGAGAAGGGTGGCAAGGACCAGAGAGGGTGCGCAGGATTACCATCACCATCGTCATCCCATCGTCATCATCGGCATCATCGTCAACATCGTTGTCATCGTCATGATCATGATCCGCCCTCAACGTCCCCGTGTTCATCCTCCGCCTGCCCCCCCTCCTCCTCATGTTCCTGCCCCTGTTGCTGCTGCAGCTGTTGCTCCTCCTCCTCCTCCTCCTCCTCCTGAGGATATTCCTCCTCCCCCTCCTCCTGTGACTCCTCGTCCTCCTCCTCCTCCTCCTCCTCCCCCTCGTCATCCTCGTCCTCCTCCTCCTCCTCCTCATTTTCCTTGTCCTCCCCTCTATCGTCTTTCACTGGCCAGCCAACACGCTACAATCTGCGATATCAGGGGCACTAGCCACATGCCCATGCCAAGCTGATGGCACATTTGCGCGCGATTCCACAGCTTGGCGTGTTGTGTATTTTACACACGCTTAGACACAAACTATACATGCGAACATAGACATGTTTAGACACGTTTAGATATGTTTAGACACGGCAGAACAGACACGGCATATGTTTTAGACACTGCTTGAAAAATAGACACGTTTAGATACTCGAGCACGCCGTACAAGCGAGAGCGCCGCGCGTCTATTCATGTCTATAACTGGTTGTTTTAGACACTCGTGCACCGCGCTCGAACGAGAGCGCCGCGAGTCTATACGCGTCTAACGCAAAATTAACATGTCTTCCAGGGCTGGGAGAAGGGGGGGGGCTGACTCGAGCTGACGCGAGCTAACGCGGGCTGACGCGGGCTGACGCCTTTCCGCCCCAAGGACCCGGGACCTGGGACCCGGGCGCGCCCCTGGGAGGGGGGAGGGAAACCGGTCCCTGGACCCGGACCCGGGGCCCGGGCGCGGGACCCCGAGACCCGGGACCGGCACGAGACCCGGGACCGGGACCAGCGCGGGACCCGGGACCCGGGACTGGCGCGGGACCCTGGACCCGGGACCCGGGACCGGCGCGGGACCCGGGACGCGGGACGAGCGCGGGACCCCGAGACCCGGGACCAGCACGAGACCCGGGACCGGGACCAGCGCGGGACCCGGGTCCCGGACTCGGGCATGGCGCAGAAACCGCGACCCCGGACCGGCGCGGGACCCGGGAGTCGGGACCCGGGACCGGCGCGGGACCCGGAACCGGGACGCCAGGACTGGCGCAGGACCGGCGACCCGGGACCGGCGCGGGACCCGGGACCCGGGACCCTGGACCCGGGACCGGCGCGGGACCCTGAACCCCGAACCCAGCACGAGCGCGGGACCCGGGACCCGCGACCCGGGACCGGCGCGGGATCGACCGGAGACCCGGGACCGGCGCGGGACCCGGAACCCGGAACCCGGGACCGTCGCGGGACCCGACGGTCCCGGGTAGGGAAGAGGTGTTTGTTTTCCATGCGGCGCTCAGCGACATGATGGCCCCGATGGCGTGCTTATCTTTGCTGCCGCTTCTTCGAACGGGCAGGACCTCCCGCCGCGATCTGGCATGCCGCTTCGCGGCATTGGCCTGGCCGCGCACCAAGGAGCAACTCCGCCAGGGTCACCGGCCGAGCCTCATCCCTGGAGAAGGGCCGCGGGTGCACACATCTCCTTGCTGCGGCGCCAGCGGCCACGCGGCGCGTCAGAGCCAGCGTCAGGGTGCAGAACGGCGAATTGGCACATCGATAGGGAAAGAGGAGGCGGGGGGCGGCCGCGCAGGGAGAGGAGAGGGCGGGCTGGCGCGCACACACTCGCGAGACACCTGCGCCCCTCGCGGGACGCCGCGGCATCCGCACGCCCATCGCGACGCAGCTCACCCCACTTGGATCACCCGCCGAAAATTCTTGAAACCTTTCAAGCTGCTCTCCGTCTTTCCCAGGCGGCAAAACGATCTCTGACAAGCTCGATCCGGTGCACGGAGGCTTGGACGACTTTCTGCAACACTGTCACCCGGCGATGCGTCAGGTCAGTTGGCGGCGCGCACAAGTGGGCAATTAGGATGTGGGGGGGAACTTCTTCGCAAGAGGCTGCTTCTTAGAAGGCGCCGGCCCTGCATCTACAGATAAGGCCTGCGCCTTTTGAGAAGCATGGATGCTTCTAAGGAGGCCCCCCCCCTCCCCCTACCCCTCTCTGCTCGTGGCGAAGTCAGGCCGTGCTGGTTCGAATTCCGCTCAGAGACAAGAGCACGGGTGTGCTGCGTGACGGCCACGCTGTGATGGGCAACCGTGATGGGCAGCCTTTCGCGCCATCTCCTCGGCACTGCTGCGTTCTTCCTGCGCCTCGTGCTCTGGCGAAGACAGCAGCGCGGAAGCCTGCTCCGCCGAGGCACCGGCTATGCTGCCAGACGTGGCCCAGATCGGCTTCGCCTGGGCCTACCGAAGGCAGGTTTCGCTCCTGCGGCTTCCATTCTTGTGCGCACGCAGAGAAAGAACAAACACTGCATAAGCATAACTTATTGGGGACTCGCGCAGACTCCTTCCGTGCACACGTAACGGTGCTTGAAGAGCAGGCGCGAGCTGGCTCGACACGTCCCTTCGTTAGAGCCCAAGCAGTCCTTGCCCGCGCGGCTGGGCTCCACTTTTGGGTTCACGGACGCAAGCGATCAGGCACCCGCGGAGCAGACGTCGGGGCGCACCGGAGCGACGTGAGACACGAAAGCGCGGGAAAGAACTTGATGGGCGGAACAGAAAGAGGCCGCTCAGTCAGACGGCTGGGCCCCGCACAGGGCATATAAAACGCCGGCATGCAAGGTCCGGGTGGGGCCTGAGAACACCGCGGC